AAAGAGTATGTATGTATATATATGTGTGACTGTGTGTTCTTCTCTCAAGAACCACACAGTCTAGTAGGAATACAGACAACAGCAGGTAGTAATAATACGGCACACTGAACTTGCACATTGAGTGGTATTTGGGTTCAGAAAAGGCCCCTGTTTCCTTCTAGATGTCTTTTCCCCGACTTCTGTGCTGTGGCACCCTTTATGTCCCCTCTGTCTTACTCCTTACATCCCCTTCCCTTCAATGTGGTAAGTTCCAAGTATTCTTCTATCTTTTGCCCACTTCTATCTTGCTCTTAGCCTCCCATGGATTCTTATATATGCTTGTGATATTAACTCTTCCATCTATGCAAATTACCTCCAAGGTCTACATTTCCAGGACTAATGTCTTACCTCCTTTCCAAACTATAATATTACAGAAATTGTAATGTGGCTATCTCATTCATACTGAACTTCCGTTTGTCCAAATCTGTTTCCCTCTACAAAAGATGATCTGAACAAACAACGAAACCCATTCTGAGTTCTCTGTATCAGTGAATGACTTTATTAGTTCATCCATTACCTGATCTCTTGAAATCTCTGGGTCACTTTTAACTCTGAATTCAGCTCATCTTATCTGTTAAACACTGAGCAATGAGTTAATTAGCTGATGAACACAATCTAGTGTAATCTTTTCATTATGAGGTAGGTATTATTTTTCTCTGTTTTACAGATGAGGACCTTGAGGGCCAGAAAGGTTAAATAATGTTTTTAAGGATGATACACGGCAGCTAAGAGGTCAACTTAGGATCAAACCAACATTGGCATCTCTGCGAAGTCTGGCCTGTTGCCCATTATACTGTGTTTTCTCTTCTTATAGTTGGTCTGATTGTTTCTTTTGTACCAGTGCTAACATACTTCATGTCTACATTTGTATTCTTGCTCCTTTTTTGTGACTTTATAATCTACATATATTTGTGAGTAGGAAGATTTTATTAATAATGTGAAAAATTTTTCAGTAGGTTAAGCTAAAACAGGGCTCAGCAAACTCTTTCTATAACAGACCAGATAGTGAGTATTTGGGCTTTGTGGGCCACACAGTCTCTGTAGCAGCTATTCAATCTTACCTTGATAGCAAGACAGCCACTGCAGATGTTAAATCAACAAATGGCTGTTGCTGTGTTCCAACAAGCTTTATTTGCAAAAACAGACTATGGGCAAGGCACAATGGTTTATGCTTGTAATCCCAGCACTTTGGGAGGCTGAGGTGGGCAGCTCACTTGAGCCGGAAGTTTGAGACCAGCCTGGGCAACATGGTGAAACCTCATCTCTACAAAAAATACAAAAGTTAGCCGGGTGTAGTGGCTTGGACCTGTAATCCTAGCTATCTCTGGGGCAGGGAGCCACTGGAGCCTGAGACAGGAGGATCACGTGAGTCTGGGAGGTCGATGCTCTAGTAAGCCATGATCATCCCACCGCACTCCAGTCTGGGTGACAGAGTGAGACCCTGTCTCAAAAACAAAAAAAGGCCAAAGCCACAAAAAAAAAAAACCAAAAAAAAACCCAAACAGACGACTGTGGGCAGATTTGACCCTTAGGTCTGTAGTTAAATACTTATTTCATTTTTGCCATCTAAACTAATGTGTTTTATTGGATTTACTTATTCATGCATTTATGTATTTAAAAACACATTGATATATAATCTCAATTAGATAAAATAGAAGTTAAGGGAGGTCATTGCGGAGATATCATTTGAACTTAATCTTGGACGTTTGATTGAGAAATAATACTTTTTTTTTTTTTTTTTTTGGTCAGGCAGGGTCTCACTCTGTCACCCAAGCTGGAGTGCAGTGGTGCGATCCTGGTTCACTGAAGCCTGAACTCCTGGGTTCATGCAGTCCTCCTGCCTTAGCTCCCCAGTGGCTGGGACTGCAGGTGTGTGCCACCATACCCGGCTAATTTATTAAAGAATTTTTTTTTTCTCTAGAAACAGGGTCTTGCCATGTTGCCCAGGCTGCTCTCGAACTCTTGGGCTTAAGTGATCCTTTCGCCTTGACTTTCCGGAGTGTTAGGATCATAGGCGTGGGCCACCATACCCTACTGAGAAATGCACTTGACCCCTGGACAACATGGGGGCTTTGGGGGCACTGATTACCCTCCCTCAGTCAGTTGAAAATTCCTGTATACCTTTGACTTCCCCCAAACTTAACTACTAATTGTTAACTGGAGGCTTTACTCATAACATAAACAGTTGATTAACACATATTTTATATGTTACAGGCATTCTATACTGTATTTTTACAATAAACTAGAGAAAAGAAAATGGTATTAAGAAAATCATGAGGAGAGAAAATATATTTACTATTTATTAAGTGGAAGTAGATCATCCTAAAGCTCTTCATTCTTATCTTCACATTGAGTAGGCTGAGGAGGGAGAGGAGGGATTGGTCTTGCCTTCTCAGGGCGGGCAGAGGTAGAAGAGATAGAGGAGGTGGCAGGGGAGGCAGGAGGGGCAGTCACACTCAGTGTAACTGTTATTGGAAAGAATCTGCGTGTAAGTGGATCCTCACAGTTCAATCCATGTTGTTTGAGGGTCAGCTATATTTGAATTGCCAAGAATTCTGAACTGTGTCTCATGGCTAGCTAGGCATATGAATTTATGCTAGTTACGTGATCTTTTTGAGCTTTATATTCTTTGTTGGTAAAGTGGTACGTACAATACCTACATCACAGAACTGTTGAAGGATCAAATGGAAGAACAGTGTGTTAATAGAAGTATGAACGTCGTTGGTCTTATCCTCCTGGGTCTCTTATGTGTTTCCAGATGATACATTTCTTATAGAGAAATTTGATGGAGGCGGGAGGAAAGGAAGTCACTTCTCAGATAGAAGTGGGAAGGCTCTCCTAGTCATCCCTTTCCCTCTGTTAGAGATGGTAATAGAGGACAAATACTTTTCTGGCTGGGGTGAATGACAGTGAAGAATGTAAGCAGGGCTGAGCAGATAGATAGAAGGCCTGAAAACGAGGGCAAGAACCTCAAACTTTCATCGGGAAGCTGGGGACTGCGTGAGGAGAGCAAGGAAGGGACACGAGGCTGGGGCGCATCCCTGGGAATGGAACCTAAGTGTGGGTTTGGGTGTGTGAAGAGCAGGAAACTGGGAAGGAAAAGCATCGACAGCAGCGCACAAGTAACTGCATCAGAAGCACCTTCCCCAGAACAATTCTGAACTTTGTCTCACAGCATATGCCTTTGGAAGGAAGAACGGTTTTCCTGTGTGTTGGCGAGGGTGCTGAGTTAGGTAGCTAATAACCTCACGGCTTCATTTTGTGCTAAGACGTGTAAGGCTGCATATGCATATTTAAAATTCATACCCACTGCAGTGACAAGTCACTGAACACTAGATGGGAAGACATTTCAGTTGAAGCTCAGCCAAAAGCCCTTTTGCAACAACTCTGACAAAATAATGCCATAAGTGCATAAAACCAGAGAGTTCCTGGGTGTCTTTGAAAATGTCTCGAGTGATGACAGTCTCAGACAAAGGTGCTGTGCACGGCTTCTAAGAAGCAATCACACGCAAGCACAGCCCTTCAACTTGAAGCTAGATATCCTCAGTTCTAATTTGGAGTCAGGTGGATTGTGTCGTCCAGGGACAGACTGTGCCTTTGATAGTGACTTGGAACAATATAATTCTCTCCTAATGCAGCTTCATATCATGAAGTTACATATTTTCTTGGTATAATTGCACGGCCCTTGCAGTAAAACAGCCACGTAGTTGTATGCTTTAAAGTAGCCCAGTAGGGAAGAATTCCACATTTTAGAAGATGGATTTTTATAATTGAAGTTTGTGAACGTAAATTATTTGTGAACATTGGGAAGTGACATCTCAAGACTCTCCTTATTGGGATCCCTGAGTGAGTTCATCAGGGGCTTCTGTGGGAGTGGGAAGAAGACACCGTGTGAGTGGTCCACAGCCCTTTGCGGTTGTCTTATTGAACTCTTCCACTAGCCTACAGTTTCGCTGTTACACTTAGGTCTTTCTTACCTCATCCGTGACTTGAACTGCCTATACTAGATGACAGCTGAGGTGACTTTCAGCTGTAAAGTTTGGTGATTTTATTAAATTCTAGGCATTTTAGTTACTTAAAAATCTAGGTCAGTGCTCTGTCTTCCGGCTGCTCTGTCCCTCTCCCCCAACAAGTTTAGTCCTGTTTCTGGTTAATTGTGGGTGTGTAGTAGAAATGTGCTGTTTTGCCAAAGGTGTAATTGAGAAGGCGCCACAAAGGTATGAAGTTTAAGTGACCAGATGGGAGAAGACTTGCGTTTACAGCTGTCCATTGATATAGGCTATCACTTTGTGTAACATTTCCTTAGATTTTCTATTTTATTTTTAAAATATTAAAGTTAACCACCATCTAAAGTGGTGTATTTTATTTAAAACTTTTTAAAAAAATTAGTAGTATCCCTTTGTGATCCAGTGAAGTAATCCAGAAGTTACGCTATGTCAGAGATAAAGAGAGCTTCTAATGATTGGTAGAAATGTGAAGGATGGCTCTTCTAATCTCTTGTCTTCCACTCTCCTTCAGGGGCCTCTATCTAACCATTTGCTTCCTTTATTAGTGGGACCCATAGTAGGGTCCAATTAAATGCTGTATTTTAGGGGATCCCTCTAAAGGTTTTTGGTTCTATAATGTACAGGTTGTCACATTTAAAGTTTTTTTCCACATCACAAGTTCAGGACATGATAACATAATAAATGAGGTTTTGTACAAAGCCAAGGATCTGAATGACAAAGGAAGAACAACTAGAGATTAGGGATCTAAAAGTGACTTCCAAGAACCTTCTGATTTAGTGCATTAAGTATCACGCATCTGTCAGGTGTCTTTAATTGGCTCTTTCAGCTGTGTGGAGGTCATAGTGGGGGAGACATGCCAGTATGACAAGAGGCAGCTGGTGGGAGACACAAAGAACAGACTTGCTTTCCACAGAGTGACACCTGACTTGTGCTTTGCCTGTGTGCTCTTTCCAGAACCCGTGAGAAGTTTCTACAATGATGGGCTCAGCTCTCAGGAGAGGTGCCCATGCCTATGTCTACCTGGTGAGCAAGGCCAGTCACATCTCCAGGGGCCATCAGCACCAGGCCTGGGGATCGAGACCTGCTGCAGCAGAGTGTGCTGCCCAGAGAGCTCCAGGCAGTGTGGTGGAGCTGCTGGGCACATCCTACCCTCAGGACGACTACAGCAACCTCACCCGGAAGGTCCTCACCAGAGTTGGCAGGAACCTGCACAACCAGCAGCACCACCCTCTGTGGCTGATCAAGGAGAGGGTGAAGGAGCACTTCTACAAGCAGTACGTGGGCCGCTTCGGGACCCCGTTGTTCTCGGTCTACGACAGCCTTTCTCCAGTGGTCACGACCTGGCAGAACTTTGACAGCCTGCTCATCCCAGCCGACCACCCCAGCAGGAAGAAGGGGGACAACTATTACCTGAATCGGACTCACATGCTGAGAGCGCACACGTCTGCACACCAGTGGGACTTGCTGCACGCGGGGCTAGATGCCTTCCTGGTGGTGGGTGATGTCTACAGGCGTGACCAGATCGACTCCCAGCACTACCCTATTTTCCACCAGCTGGAGGCCGTGCGGCTCTTCTCCAAACATGAGGTGAGTCTTGTGATGTTTCTCATGGCTGAGGATGTCATAGACGTTTTATGTTGAGGTCACTAACATTTAGCTCAATGAGACCAGTATAGTCATCCTTGCTTGCCTTATTTTGCCTTAGTGAATCATCCATACTTAATGACAGCTTGTGTATAGGTGTGCCTCCATATTTTTTGACTGATTTCTTGTGTGAGTAACTACAGAAATTGAAAAGCCTTAGTTTTCAGTTGTCTGTCCTTATCCTTTCTCTCAATACTGACCCGCCTTTCTCTGGGTTACTTCTTATGAATGGAGAATAGTCTGTGGCTCAAATTCACCTTTAATCCAGGATGGCTGAAGGTGCAACTTGGAAACCTGTGGTCAGGTCATTCTTAGTTCTGTTAGGAGAAGTAAATTATATTTTCATGCTGTTAGAGATAAATGAATTTCTTAGGTACCTTAGGGGCCTGAGGATTTATTGGCTTGGACTGTAAACTGTGTCTTGTCCCCAGGCACTTTCCTCACCCTCCCTGGCTTTGCATGTTGCTGTGAGATGTCTTAATTGCTGTGGGATGTCTTAATTGCTGCTATTCTTGAAGTATATGTTAGGATGCATGGAGCCTTTTCCTAACTCCTTGCATCTGTTAGATGTTATCCTAATACGTTGTGTGCATCTTTTTTTTTTTTTCTTTTTTTTTTTTTTTTATTTATTCCCTCCCTGCTTGCTTGCTTTTCTTTCCTACTTGCTTTCCCTCTTGTTTTTCCTTCATTTTTTTTTTCCCATCTGTGTTTTTTTTTATATGAGACAGATGTGTTTTACTCTCACACGGTGTGTTTTTTTTTTTTTCTTTTTCGCTGTGTCTTTTCGAGATGTTTTTTTTGGCAGGGGGGGTTTTTTTTTTGTCACAACTCTCTCCTGCCATGTAAGCTAAATGAGTTGTTAATATGAAAACAAATAGTATAGCATCCTTAGGCTGATAGGTAACCATTGTTTTGTTGTATTCTGTAAGTCATATAGCAGGAGATAACTGAACAGGACTGCCCTCCCCTTCTCTTCTTTTTCTTTCTGTTTGCCTCTGGATGTGCTATTATTTTGTGACTGTGATAATGCAGTAATAGGTTAGTCTTACACAGAAAGGCCATCCATGCTGGATCTCAGGGGATCTTAAATGAGCATTCTCACTACTTGGAATAGCTGACTGTTTTCCAAGTTAGGAAAAATAATGATTAATAAGGATATAGATTTATTAGGGAACTAAAATGAGATGAACAAAGACAGGTCAAAATCTGGGAAATATGTCCAAGTGAAGGGATGTCATTTAAAATTAATGTGCAAGAGGAGCTGTGGTGCCAGTAATATGACGTCCAGGTCACAGTAGCAGACAGGTGCTCAGCCCAGCTTACCTCATTAAAGAGATAAGAAAGGACCGTGCGCCCTGATTTGTAAGCCTGCGTGCCATGAAAGAGGCAATGAAGGCCGCCAGGCACTTCCAGCATTTTAATGGAGGGAAAATCAAGGCTGCCACAGACGGTGGGAAGTAGGAAGTGGATAGGAAATTAGCCTTCACCTTGTTTCATATTTGTTTTGGGTCCAGTCCAATTTTAGCACAAATTACTAATCTAAACTGATAATGCTACTGTATAGTCTGCATATAGTTAAAAAATTGTGCTCATGTGTATGTATGTATCTAATCTTCTTATATAAGGTGCATCTGTGTTCATTGCTTCATTTACTCCTCTTAATAAAAATCTCGCAAGGTAGATCATTTTGACTTCAGCCATGAGGAATGAGGTCCCAAAAGGTTTACTGACTTACCCAAAGTTGCTGCAGCAGTTAGTAACATGGCTAGAGCTGGAACTCAGCTCTTCTGAATTCATTGCCTATTTTTCTGTATTCTGCTTTTTTTCATGACACTCCTTTGTATGTGGGGCCTGCTTATGACCGAAAGGGGAGTTTTGGTTCCAAGAATGGTATGGAGAGAGGAGTCAGAAGGTTGTGGTATTTTCTGAATTCCTAAACTCAACTAAAGTGTTGGTACTAATTCTGACCTAATCTTAACTCTAAACAAATTGTTTTTTCCTCTTTCAGTTTATTCCCCTGTGAATAGGAGTTTTAGACTTAATAATAATTTTACAGAGACAATTTTAAACATTTTATTGTTATGTTTTAAGGTATTTTTTATCGGGAGAACCCGCTGGTTACGTGGGTTCTTTTCTGTTTCCTAAATGTCTCAGCTGGTTTGAGAAATAAAGGGAAGGAGCTCAAGAGAGAGAAATTTAAAGCTGGGTGTCGGGGCGGGGGGGGGCTTGGGGGAGACATCACATGTAGGCGGGATCCCTGATGTTCCCCGAGCCTTAAACCAGCAAGTTTTTATTAGCGATTTTCAAAAGGAGAGGGAGTGCACGAATAGAATGTGGGTCACAGAGATCACATGCTTCACAAGCTAATAAAATACCACAAAGCAAGTGGAGGCAGGGCGAGATCACAGGACCACAGGATGGGGCGAAATTAAAATTGCTAATGAAGTTTCAGGCACGCTTTGTCATTGATAACATCAGGAAACAGTTTGAGGGCAGATAACCTGTCTGACCACAATTTATTAGGTGGGAATTTTCCTGGTCCTAATAAGCCTGGGAGCCCTACAGAAGACCGGGGGCTTATTTCATCCCTTCAGCTTAGACCATAAAAGACAGCAGGCCTTAAAGGGGCCGTCTGTAAACCTACCCTCAGGGCGCTTTCTCTTTCTCAGGGATGTTCCTTGCTGAGAAAAAGAATTCAGTGATATTTCTCCTATTTGCTTTAGAAAGAGGAGAAATACGGCTCTGTTCTGTCCGGCTCACTGGCGGCCAGAAGTCTTATCTCTGGCGTTCCCTGAACACTTCTGTTATCCTGCTCTTTTTTCAAGATGCCCAGATTTCATATTGTTCAAACACACATGCTCTACAAACAATTTATGCAGTTGACGCAATTATCACAGGGTCCTGAGGCGACTTACATCCTCCTCAGTTTACGAAGAAGATGACGGGATTAGGAGATTAAAGTAAAGACAGACATAGGAAATCACAAGGGTATGGATTGGGGAAGTGATAAGTGTCCCTCAGATCTTCACAATTTATGTTCAGAGATTGCAGTAAAGACAAGCGTAAGAAGTTATAAAAGTATTAATTTGGGGAACTAATAAA